GAAGATGTGCAGGGGATGAAGATGTGCAGGTGATGAAGATGTGCAGGTGATGAAGATGTGCTGGGTGAGGTGACTGAAGGAGAAGAAGAAGAATACTTGCATTGAAGAGCTGTTTTCAGTTCACCTACGTAGGCTTTACAGTATACTATATCTGTCCCTATTGAACAAACCATGAATGAAAATGTAAAGTTGTGTTCACTGCAGCGATTTTACACAAAAACGTTATGAAAACTAAAGTTGTACTTGGTGATAATTGCACAGTAGCCTATTAGAAGATTAAGGGTACTACTGACGCTCTGTTCTGCAATTAGTTAATATGATTTATTTTGGATTTCTACAACCATTATGATAATTTCATCAGCTGTCGGTGGTCCGGCCCTCTCCTCTGTGCTGCAGGGTGCACAATACAATTTGAGTATATTCATATTGTTTACAATTGAAAGGTACTTACGGAATAGCTGTGGCTTATTAGCAAAAGCACAAATATCACTGCTGGTTTGAATGTTTATGGTAAAGTCGTACTATAGGTAACGTGTAATGTCGAGGGAAATCAAATGTGTGAGAGGCGTCATTATCACATTGAATTTCTTCAGTCTGATTTTAATTCACCACCTCACCATCTGCATCCCATTTCCATTTGTACACATGGGTCCGAGTTTCCGTACAGGTGCACAAATTCTCCCGTCAAATTTGTTTTTATAGATCAGAACCTTTGCGTGGAGAGTGGACCTCTTTCGGACCCCATTTTTTTTCTTAAACTTGAGAAGATACAATTTTCTGGGGCTCTGTAGACCATTTTTTAAATAGCAAATGGCAACGCATGACCTTCTTCTTTCTTTTATGTATTAATGTATTTGTATTTTCTTATATGGAAACACTTATTAAAGAAAAGTAAAATGGAAGGAAAACATTGCTTCAATAGTAACATATGACTTGCGTCCGTCAATAAAAAAGACATTCATAGAAAATGTTGTACTTTTCTGTTTAAATCTGTATCAGGAGCAGAAACTACAGATACAATTAACAATATATAAAAATATTGATTATAAACAGTATTGTTTATATACATGAGCCTGGACAAATAAACAAAAGAATGATCACGTCTTGACTTACCTCTCTCCTAAACGGATCGATTAAGGCCACCACTGCTGGGTATTTGCTGATCAGGCTTTGGTACATATCAACTAATTCATCTGGAGACTTCAAAACTGCGGTTGCAACTTCATACTTCCCTTTAGACTGAGAGGAAGACAAGAAGCAAACATTTGATTCTCTGTGCTGCCTGTTGTCGCTATCAGCTGTGCCTATACTCTGTCAGCTGTATGCATATGTATACATAAGTATACATATACTGTATATAAGTACACTTATAATTGCAGGTATACTAATTAGAATGCATTATAATCTGAATATAGCATTGTATAATCATAGATCATAAATAAAATACATTTTCGTAATGCTTTATAACAATAAAGCATTATAATGCTTTATAATTAAAATGATAACATAACGATTGTATAATGACTTATAAGGTCTATCATAATGCTTTATAGGCTTTTCATGTTTTTGACAGGATCATATTGTATTATAATGCTCATAGATGTAATACACTATAATCCTTTCATAATCCTTTATAATAATATTACATTAGTGAAATGTCTGCTTTAGAAGCTCAGCTAGAGGATTTTGTGTTCTGGGTTTTGTGTCTTTTCCTTGTTTTAATGTTTTTCATTCACATTTAGGATTCAGCAGCTTGCCCTATGCTGGACACAAATCTTCTGGTGCCAACCAATTATCCTGATGTCAAGTCTCGACGCTGGTCTCCAGAGGGGTTCTGCTCTTCGATCTGGTCGTCCTCCAGTGGGACTCCACCCGTGACCCCACCCTGACCCCAGATTATCTGCCCGGGGTCCCTTGTTCTGCTCATGTCCATCCCCTGGGCGCCCACCTGAGGTCCTTTTGCTTTGCCACTGTCCAGCCCCTGTTCTTCAGTCCCCTGACTACTTGTCCCCTGGCCACTGTCTCTTGTCCCTTGTTATCACCTTTCTTTCCTATTGTATCTTGTCTCCGAGCTCTCTTCCCCTTGTGCCAGTTTGCTATTGATCGTCATAGTGTTTTGAGGTCCAGCCCCTTTACTAGTGTTTTGGATTGACCTGCTACCTGTACGAGTTACCTGCCTGCATTTGGACTCTCAGCCTGTAAGCAGTTTTCACAATAAATCTTTAAAATCATTCTGCTGCTTCATCCTCTGTCCATTTGGGTCCAAACCTGTTATTCTGGAAACATCATATATATTGTGCATTACAGACAGGGGCGTCATAGAAAGCGCTACCAAATTCATTTTTAGAAGAACTCCTACATTAGGACCCCAAACAGCTCGTCTCACATAAAGCCATCAACTTACACAGTCTACTAACTCAGGGGCAGCACAGTTTAGTGCTAAGTGGATCTCTGTTCCCAGTGCCAGTCCAGAGTTAGTACAGGCTTCAGTGATCAGATCTAGAGGCTGCTCGGGTCGCTCGTACGCCACTGCCAGCGCTCCACTGTCACACAGCATTGCCTGGGTTGCCTCGGAGCAAAGACATAGTTCACCTGGTTAACAACATGTATTGTGCTTCGCCGAAGCTGCATGTGAATGACAATAGATAAGTATTTATTCATTGAATGAAGACGAGTGTGTGCACTCATTCTCCTCACTGTTCAAGTTATGAATGGTAGGGCAACAGGTCATTGAACAATGCAGGAACTATAACTATGTGTTTTCAGTACAAATGCTGCATGAAGGAAAGGGTAAACAGTAGCAGTATTGAAAGCTTTAATAAGCATTGTGACATACCTCCTGCATACCTTTGTATACAACTTTTAGGTAAGCTCGGGAACAGAAAAAGCCTTGAATCCTGCTTCCATCTTTTACATTGTGCTTTCATAAAGCTTATGTGAACTCAGGTCCTAGTCAATGAATCGCAATGTCCCTCACCCCGGCTTTTGTTGAAGTGTTCACTATTCTCATCATCTCCTTCTGTAACTCAAGGGTCATTGTGATAATCTGTTGAAGAAGTTCACAGTTCAGTGAGGTTAATTAACACAAGAGTGAAAATTCAATATAAACACTAGAGTGAAAATTGAATATAGAAGAACTGAGGTGCCTTATCAATAATACACAACATCATAGCAACAACGTAGGAAGCAAAGGAACTTGCACAAAGAGCACTAACTTTATGCAGTGAATAACTGCCAACAGATAGAACATGTAACAACTACACAGAGATGTACTTGTTTGACTTGTTGTCCAGCTTTGGGGATCAGGATGACTTCCTTCAGCAAACTCAATTTTCCAGGAGAAGTCTTTCCACAGCTCAGCAAAGTGACCAAAGGCACAGGGATGTGGAACTGAGCCGGAGCCTGAATAAAGTTGTTTCATTACAACACATGTTGCTCCCAATATAGTGTTTGTGTGATTATATGTGTTTGTGTGTTCTAACCTTTCCGTTCTTCAGAGCTGCTATGTATTTGTAGAGAGGGATACCCTGTATCTTTGCAGCAGTTTTGGCCACAGCAAGAGACACCGAGCCAATGGCCGAGCTCCCAGGCAAAACTGGTTCTGGTGGCTCTGCTGGAGGAAATGGCTTCTCCGCAGTGATGCTCTTTTTACCTGTGGCGTAAGCAAAACATTCATGTGACAAAAGGAGTCGGAATGCATATTTTGGGCTTCGAGGTGAAGCTAGATGAAGCTAGATAAATCTCCTACGCAGAAAAACTGTGTCACAGCAGCAAAAGAAACCATTAGCTATAAATACTTATCCTCGAGGCTCATGGGGAGGGACCGGAGCTGACATAGTGCCAGTGGTGGGTTACACCCTGGACAGGTCACTTTGACTAGCTGAAAGGAACTACACTATCCAGTTGTATCAAACTGAAGGAACATGTCACCCAACGCAATGGTATGGCAAGTTTATATGTTATTAATAGTTTAAGAATGGCGCTCTATGGCACAGCGTAATAATATGGATCTGGGTTTGGATATACAGACAATACATGACAGCAGGACACATTTACTGCTGTGCTTTTCCAGGATTTATTGAAATGAATCCTGCACCATCCTTAACATCTTCTGATTGTTGTTATAGCAAAATCATTTGTACTTAAGGTCATATGCTTGTTCAGTCTATTCATATGCTTAGGTCAACCTTATTTACATGAATGCCTGAGTAAATAAGACCAGATTCAACAGTAATAAATTGATCAATCATCTGAGGCACAAAATGCAGATTTCTCTTGCAACCTGGTCTTGGTAATACAGTTTTTTTTCAATTGCTAACACACTAAAATTACACATTATTATTGAGACTGACACTCAACACAATGTCTCACAATGGTCTGCTTTGCACATCATTTGCAATTCAACATGGCACTTTTTCAACACTCTGCACACAGTTCTCTACATAAGACAGGAATGCCGATACCAGTGCCACCTGGCCAAACAGCTGACTGCTCCATTGTCAGCTCATCAACCAGGAATAAGCGCTACAAAAAAGCCCCCAGATGAGTAGGGGTAGGAATCAGTAGGCACCTCACGATTCAATTCTGATTCAGAGGGCTATGATGCGATTATAAAACGATTATCGATTCTTCTTGATGCATCAAACATTTTCGATACATGATTTCTTTTTTTTCACTGTGATTATCTGCTATTTTAAAAACACTCCATATTTGTAATGAATCTTAATTAAAAAAAAGATGAATTTACTTCCATTATTTTGTATTAATTCAATATTAGTAACAAATAGAAGAGATGTGTCATCTAGAGGGTTACAATTCCAAACACTGCAAAGAGAACCAATAAGAAAATAAAGCAGCATCCTCGTAGTAAAAACACACAATTCAGCATGTTCTGAGTCATTTGACATAACCAGTTGCCCTTATTCACAAATAAATAATAAAGACTTCTCTTCAAACAAATCCTCTAGTTATAGGCAATGAGCATTCAGCTCTGGTACAAAAATAACGCTTTCTGGAACATGTGGTTAAACTATACATACAGTGATAAAGAGCGCGGTTACAGTGACACTACGTGGTAACAGATGACACAGCGTGTTACTACCATCCGACCTGCTTTCCTCAGTGACTCCGTGACATTAGCTTTGGTTGTAAAGTAAGAGTATCGCTGTGTTGAGATGAATGTTGTATCTCGGTTCCAAAGTGTGCAACGTAGCGCGAAAGCTCTGGTTCTCAATGACTGTGCCAAATAAAGTTGCAATCTACTTTGTGATTAGCTTCGCCCTTCCCGAGTTTGGCAGAAGAAGAAGCAAAATTCTTCCATATGTTTTAAGCCAGGGGGTGCCAGTTGGATTGTATCCATATTTGGCTGCTGAAGCTCAGCTGCCCTCACCAAAACTCTGCTAGTATTTAGCCTAGCTTACAACGTAAATAAGACGTACGTGTAGCGGTAAGGAACGGTCAACCCGGTGTCACAGAATTGCAGTGGCGGGCCGTCAGGGCCAGCAAAGCCTTCTCTGCTGGCCTAAACAGAACCACAAAGCTATTTTATAATTTAATAATGTTTCATAAACACACTACATGTATTCTAATTATTTTTCCCATTATCTTATTTTCTCATTGCACAGCTACTGTCTTCCTCAGTTGCTCTGCTTCCAGTGCAGCTTGTTTTAAGTAGAGCTTTTATCCAATCAGATTTCACCTCTGTGTCTCTAGGTAAGAAGACAGGCCCGAGGTCCTCTAGGTAGATTTTGCAGTTTAAGTGAATGGGGACGATAATGTTGATTGTCATAGTGTTCAACCAATCAGATCTTTAGTTTGACATGTTGGGCGTATTAACGCGCATTAACGTGCGGCTCAGCATTAACGTGCGGCGTGATTGGCCAGTGGGCTAGCGTGACTGTTTTGATGCTGAAGCAGCTAGCAGAAGTTAGTATGAGTAGTAACAGTTCAAGTTGAAAGATATGTCATTTTTAGCGTTTTGCTTGGTGTAGATTGTTTTTTTTACCTAGCTTTGTTTTTTTAACACTCAATGGCTGAAGGAGGGGAAACGGATTTCTCAAGGACATTTCAGGAGAAATGTACATCGTAAGAAAGGGTCGGCCACAGCTAGCAGCCCTGACCCAGCCAGGAAAAGGATTTGTATGAATGGTGTTCCTGGCTGACAGCGTCGGAGAAGTGTTGCATATTTTATGACTAAGAATGTGTTTTATTTGCAACTGAGCGTCTTAGTGTTTGGAGTTGAGTTGTTGCTTTTGTTTTTTTGCATCTGCAGTAGCGTTACTACTGTGTTCATTTGTCTATGGTGTCGTTTTGATGATATGGTTAATATTGTTCCCTCTGATGTGAATAATATTTGAATGGCTCGTGCTCTTCAATGTGCGGTAGAATACGTGTTTTAGCACCTCAGTGTTGCTGGATTGATTTGTCATGCTTTGTTGTCATATGTGACTGGTTCTTGTGAGTTTGTTCTTGTCATTGTGTTAATTACATTGATTATATGCATTGTCCGTTAATGACAAAGCATCCCGTCATGCGCGGGGTTAGGGGTCGGACATTTGATTCTCTGTTTGGGGTTTTGTTTTCTTTTACAAAGCAAGAATGATGGTCTGGAGAAATGGGGATTGTGTGGTGATTGCTTTAGCCCTGTTTGAATCAGTAGGGAACAGCTAAACGCTGCGGGAAGAGTTTGTAGCGTGTGTGCTGCTGTTGTTTTCCTGCTAAGCTAGTCTAGTGTAGCCTCCCAGAACACACGTGCCTCACCAGGGTACAATGTATTGTTTCCGGGGTCAGAGTGTCTCTTACGTGATGGGTTGCCAGTTTGAGCGAAATCCACCGAAAACATTATATTTCCCACAATTTAAGCTTCTGCATTTTCCAAATGCACTAGTATTATTCAAACGTATTGTTCGGTTCGTAAGCCTCGTACCGAACGGTTTAATACGAATACGTGTATTGTTACACACCTAGAAACAAATAATAACCTGTAGCTGTGGAGCATAACGAGGTTATTAGGAGTGGTTCAACTGTAGAAGGACAGCACTGAAGGCCCAGGTATAAAATGCACAGCCCACTGCAGAATTGTTACAGGTGATCATAACGTTGAGAAAAGAGTTATTGAGTTTTCTGCATGGAGTCATCATCGTTCATGAGAGAATCGCGATACTTCTAAGAATCGATGTTTCCCCACCCCTACAGCTGAGTACCTGTTTACATAAACACAGGAAGCCAATTTAGAGGCCTGTTTTCAAAAACCTGTATTAGCATTTGTATTTAACTGTAATCCATGTTTATTTTGGGCTCCATCTTTTATGTACTACATTCTATTTAGAATATGCTCTGTTCTGATTTTCATTGAAAAATGGAACCTTTGCAAATGCATTATATCGAATGATTCAACAATGTGGACAGAAATATATATTTCATCAGTGTGCAGTAAGTACTGGTCTTGTCTGTGTGTTTGGACAATATATTCATGTACTTCACTCGAACAATGTTGCTGAAAAATCAAACCCAGACTGTATCATGAGAAAGGTAGACATGTTTTAGATTGAGCAGAGCAGCGTGTAACAGATTCAATCTGAATACCTAAGGATCAGAATGGATTTAGCTCTCAAAGACAATCTATTCAACACTTCATTTCATGTCCTTAGCATTGAGGTGCTGGCCCCAATACAAAAAAGACCTGTCTAATCTCTACAGAGGCACAATTCACGCTCAAACTTAATTTTGATCTTTGGAGTCTTGGCTTAAAAGAGCAGTGAGTCGGTTTTAGTGGCATCTAGCTACAAGGTTGCCGATTGCAACCAACTGAGTAACCTTTTGCTCACTCCTCCCTTTCCAAGCATGTAGAGAGCTAGATGGCCTTCAGCTAACATACAACTTAAAAGGTTTAAGTTTAAAAAAACTTTAAACTTTTTATTATCATCGTCATCGTCATTATACATTGTACATATACAGTATATGAAATTTAGCCTCTGCATTTAGCCCATCCCTAGCCAATTGGGAGCAGTGGGCTGCTGAGAAGCGCCCGGGAAGAAAAGGCGAAGGTCTCTCTCTATAGCCAGTGTTTGGTTTGTCCGTTCTGGGTTACTGTAGAAACATGATGGTGCAACATGGCGAACTTGAGAATGCACCCTTTATATCTACTATAAAGGGTGCATTCTAAGCCCATGAAAACACAATGATTCTTTGTTTCAGGTGATTATACACTAATAAATATGTTGTACAATATTCAGTTTCTGCCAAGAGATCCCCTAAATGTTACAAACTGAACCTTAAAGGCTATGATGGTATGGTATGTGCTATGGGCGGAAGCTCATGTTGTATGAAAACATTATGTTGTAACTGACATAATGACATTAAAGGGGCATTATCACCCATACAAGCAAAGATAATTAACATGATAAATATTACACTGAGGGAGCAGAGGAGTATAAACTACAATATGACAAAGTACAAAACAGTTATTACATTTAATCAAGCAGAAATTCTAATGGAACAACTGTGTATTATTTATTGTATATTAAAGAGCTCTAGGATTCCAAACACACAGGCTTGTTTAAATTCAGCCTTTGGCTGCTGATGCAAGATTTTAGTGTAAAGTAATAGAAATTGTGATATTGATAGCAAACACTAAGCAGTGCTGTTGCATATAGTCACTACCCTACCTTTGTCAACACTCTTCTTTTTAGTCTGTGCAGATCGTGGAGAAGTCAGCACCAAATCAGCCTCGCTGGGTGAACGACTCTCCTCCTCCTCCTTCTGAATGTCTTTCTCCTCCAGGAAGCGGGCCATGAAGAAATTGCTGCACAATTACAAAACAAAAATTAACATTTTGGGTCACAAAAACAACAACCTCTAAAGATGTCTGATCTGTAATGAAGCTTCTTCATGGGGCCACAAAAATAATTGTGGTGCCAAAACATGTGATCTCTTCTGATGGTATCAGGTCAACCTGACTTTATAAGCAGGTGCCACAAGGTTCTGTACTTGTTCCATTATTATTTGCAATCTTGCTCCAGCACAGACTTATAACATACTTTTCTATGCAGATGACACAGTATTGTGTGCATCTGGATCTTCTCCAACTCAAGCCATGTCTACAGTCTTCCTTTAATGATCTTCAGACATCTCTGCATGATCTCAAACTTGTACTGAATGAGACAAAATGCATTTTACTCAAGAACCCAACATTTTTTCTTACATTCTCCTGCAATTCATACGTATAATGGTCCTATATTCATAGTCGCCCAACCTTATAAAAACCTCAATGGAAAAAGCTGGTACAGAATCATAATATAAAAATGTGATTCTTTATATAAGAGTAAAGCATGCTTTTATCTTGAGGACAGGCAACCATAACGTGATCGCTGTTCATCATGCCTTTGCTTGACAGTGGAGATATTCTGTACCCTCATGCTGCTCATTCCACAGTTTACCACACTGGCCTGCATTTCATGAGGAGAAAGATTCTAATCACTGTTTACTATAAAAAAGTAGGGATCAAGCTTATAGATATATCCTACTAAAGCTGCCTCAGTTTATCACATCTTCTCAAATTGAACTTCTGTTCATCAGCACAGATCCCAGGACTGGCTTGAACTGGCTTGATATCCCACCAGTAAATACCGCACTTGGGAAGACTGACTTCCAGTAATTTACACCACATATATGGACTTATTCAATAAATTAATAAAACTTGAACTCATGCCTTTAGATTAATTTAAACTTTTGATTTTGGACCTTTTCAAACATGTGTGTGATGGTGATGTGATTGTATATGCTTGTGTGTGACTGGTTGTGTTTTCTTGTGTATCTTAACTCAATTGTATTCCTCCTGCTGTTGTCAGGTTTCTCTTAAAAACGAAATCTTGATCTCAATTAGATTAACTGATTAAATAAAGGTTACATATGCACATTACTACAAAAAAATGTAGAAATAGATTATAATAAATTAGAAATAATTGAATGTAAATGCAACAGATACACATTTCTATTTTTAGCTACAAGTATAAATCAGTTCCAAATTTGAATCCATTACAAGATAAGCAGTACAACATGCATTGTCCTCCCCAACCCCCAAGCCATACAGATGCCGAGTAACTCATTAAGCTTTTCTATTGGGTCATGAGACATGATGCAAAAGCGACCAAAATGAGGAGCTCGGTGCATCATGATATGATAGGCTGTGACAATAGGCAAACAAGTGCATTAATCTTGGCATGACCCATTCCAGGAGGTCAATACACCCCATTGGATCCTAATGCGATAAAATAAAATTACTTATTTGTTCATGTTTGTTTATTTGCCTTGTAGTTTATGATTAAGGTGGTTGAATTCAAAATTAATGTGAATAACTATCATATAGTTGCTAAATTCATGAATTCCAATGTACACTTAAAACAATGGTAAAGTAATTCAAGTGAGTGTCTTAGTGATGCGACACTGGGCTACTTGGGAATGGAAGCTCAAACTAAGAGTCCTGGAAACAGGGAAGTACTGCATGCATTTCTTTATGTACAGTAGTGCTTAATTAGGAAGCAGCCCCACAAACAGCATAAAATGTGTATTCTTTTATGTAAATTAAACAAAAATCTCAATTGTATCAATGGAGTATCTGGAAACAGATGAGCAAGTCAATATGCCTCCAGAGATGAAACCCTCCACAGTAATTTGAAAAATATTTGAACATTACCTGAGTATATGGTCGACATCTGATTGGTCACGGGGGCTTTGGCCCTTCAGCATGTTGTTCAGAGGTCCATTGATCCACTGAGCAGCAGTCATAACATGGTCAGCCCTCTCTTGACTCTTTGCTTTCCAGACCAGTGATGTCTCGTTAGGCCCAAAGTGGCTGGAGACAGCAGCTGAAGACATGCTCTGAACACCAAGACAGGGAAAAAGTTCCTCAAAAGGATAAAAACAAGGTATTTGCGACAAAATCGTGACAGTTTGTATGAAATCTCAACACCACCAATACTACACATACATTTTTTTAACTAAGTGCTGTACTAAATGTTTGTGCTGAAGCTAAATCACATCTGCACTACTGACACAGTCTCCACCTGACCTGCAGCCAGCGGTGCGGCTGGAGGGGGAGGACATGAGTTAATACCTGCTATCTCCGCCTTGTCTCTCCTCATCCAAGACATCATCTCACTCCTCCCCCTTCTTCTCACGGACCACTTGCACTGTTATTTCCTGTCATTCCACTTTACCGATAATGCTGCAGACTGACAATGGGCCCCTTCATGATGCTAGAGCACAGCTGTGTCCACTTGATAAACAACATACCTTGATTCTTTGTAGGAAACAAATGATTAAAACAGAACATCTGATGTGTTTGGGCTGTACTGGGTTAGTTGTCTTTGGAGTCTGCATGTAACTTCTACAAGTAGCAAACCAAAATCAAAATTCAACTTAATTCTTTTGGACGATGAAATTCAAGAGAAATATTCTATTCTCTCTTTAGACAATGTACTCAAAAGGGCAATGAATCAGTCAAAGCATCTTATATGATCATTTTGATGTCACTGTTTGTCTTTGACAGTTTACTTGGGAGCATGACAGGACATAGTGGGAGGTGAGCAGTCATGCAACAAAGGACCTTGGTTGCATGACAACTACATGGTTATCATTCAGTGTGATTTTTACAGCTTGGCCACCAAGATGACTGAACTGATAAGGTTATTACATTAAACTCTATCTTCAAAAGCACCATATCACTGATATGCTGCAATATCAAAACCATCATATCAGCTTCCATCTTTATGGCAGGTCTACTTGTCCTTCCATTCAATTAATATCATGCAACTGAGCAAACAGAACTTAAAACTTCCTCAAGATATACCCACATAGATCAGAAGTTATTATCATAGGTTCGGAATCTCCAGTTAGTCCAATTTCCCTACACTAAGGTGTCTGGTCTTCAAACATAAGCTTCACTGCAAAAATCTCAGTATCATTCTAAGAGATGTTTTTCTGTACTTTTACATTTATTTGACAGAGGACAGTGTAGAACTGGGAGAGAGAGAGGGTATGACATGTATCAAAGGTCCCAGGGCTGGAATGGAACCCATGACATCACGGTTATGTGGCATGTGCCGTCACTACTCGGCTATCATGGATCTTCCTCAGTGACATCTTTGATGACAAGCTTCATTCAATCTTTTTGTGATTTCTGTGGTCCAATCCTGCTTCCTTCATCTTCATTTATTAAAAAAGTGGGATCTTTTTTATTTACAAAGCAAAACTGCAATCCATGATTTTACGACATTACATTTCTGCTGCTCTCTTTAATCCTGTAAAAACAACCTATCCAAGCTCCAAGTGGTTCAGAATGTTTAAGAAAGATTCAATGAATAATGCATTCAACCCCAGCATCAGCTTTCAGGTACAGCCTGATGGTAGGTCTTTGTTAGTAGTTCCCAGGTTGAGGCCAGCCTTTGGGGTCAAATGCTCTGGGAGGACCTGGAGGACTTTATTTAAATAAACCTCACTTGAAAACTATTCAAAACTATAATTATTTTTTAGAATAGTGTTTTTTTAATTCTGTGCTTCTATGTAGTTACAAAACTTATTTATTTATATTTTAATACACTATACAATGCATATGTTATAGGGTCAAAGGACAAAATGTGTCGTATTCTGTAGAGATCGTAAAGCCCCTTAAGGCAATTTTGTGATTTATGATATTGGGCTATATAAATAAAATTGACTTGTCATGTCTTGACTATGTTGTTATGATTATCATTATATTTAGCCTCCCTGTATATATAATAGCACTAAGTAATACTGTTGAGTATAAGCGTTGATGCATGCCTACTGGCTAAGCCCTAGTTTTGTGCCCTCAGTGACCTCATCGGGACCTCGGCTTTTGTGATTTTCTTGCCTCCAGCTGCCTCTTCACATCAGCCTACTGCACGTTGGGAGAGGCCCATTACTGTCATTTCAAACCATCAGCACATCACTAATGAATCACATCTCCATTTGATTTGTCCAATCTTTACGCTTAATGCATACACTGAACTGAATATCCACAATCTGCCACATGAGAGGTTGACAGCTACAGTCCAAGCAGAAAGACATCAATTGATCTGTTGAGATTATATCGGACTACTGCTGATTTTTTATGAGGAAAGGTTGTGTCTGTAGCCAAAAAGACAAAATATGACAAGTGAGTTTTACCTTTTCCTTGTTGCAGACGATGCAGAAGACCTCTGTCTCGATGGATAGTTGTCCTCTTGCATCATAAACCTCCCTTCCCTTCAGCCTGCTGATCCTCGGCGGTGCACATAGGTTTGTAACATAATTTGCCTAAAGTGACAGTTGATAGTTAAAGAAATTAGGTATATCTCCTGAACTTGAAGAATTTAATTTAACCTTGCACTACACCTGCTGATTCACTAACTCCCTGTTCCTGAGTAGCTTATGGAAAGTTTCCCTTAAAAACAGCCTCCTTCCCTTCCCGGCCTTGCCCTGTTTTTTCTGATCCAGAAACAGATTTTAGCTCCACCATCTTGCCATACCAATGGTGTAATAAAACAATAAATGAATGAAGCAGCTTGAAGCTTGACGTCACATCCATGTAAAAGATAAAGCTACATAAAGCTACACACTGGTTAGCACCAAGCCATGGCTGGCATGTGGTTTCTTATAAGAACTAAATGTAATGTATCTGATGAAGAACATTTTAATTTACTGCTCACTTTTGCCTATAATCCTCAAATCTTTTCTTTACTGTTTTCATAGCCGATTGCAGGGGCGTCGTTAGGCCTATTTTAGGGGGGCTGAAGCCTGGCATTATTGGATTAAAAAAAAGAAAAGAAAAAAAACTTTTTTTTTGGTGATGTCATTAAATGAATCTATTGTTTCTCACATGGACAAGTTATTTATAACTCTAACATGCTACATATGTGCGTGCGTTCTGGTTTGTATGTTTTCTCCCCCTTCAAATTACAATCCAATAGCCCATCATCATACTTAACGATATAAAGTTGACACTGTCAAATCCATTCTCCATCCATTGTGTGCGGTCCCTTTAAGAATTAGGATTTGGGAGTGACGCGGATATGAAAGCTAGTTTATCCGTCTTTCCTTTACAAGCAGGAAAATTATTTATCTTTATTTGAGAAAAGTTCATATTTGTGTTGTCAAATTACTCGTGGAAGTAATACCATCAGTAGAAACTGTATTGAAGTGAGCCATCATAGTCCTTCATTAACGGAACACAGCCCTCATTGGTGCTTAAATCAACTGGTGTAGTGCAGGGTGAGGTAGTTTGGACATATTGTGACCATGCTGGTAAATACAGAGAACAATATGTAGGAGGCCACTTAAGTGATTTGTTCTTTTATTTGGTGGTTCATGCATTTCTGTATAAAATGAAGACATGCCTGAAGCACTTGAATGCAGCACTAGTGCCTACAGGTACCGGCTTATAAGTGCAGTAAACCTACGTAGTTAGCAAAGTAGCCAGCTAGCTAACTAAACTTAACTGTTAACGGTTAACTGTTTTTGTCGGTACATTTAGCTAACGTTAGCGTTAGCATAACTTTACGTGCGGCTGTTCCGGGAACCAGCTCCTACCAGGTATCCATGGAGGTCCTCGGGCTGGTGGGAGAAGAGCTCGTTCAGAGCTCTCTCTATCAGCTGGGGCACTCCGTTAACCCGGTAAAACTCTGCAGCGGCCGTCTTCATATCGTAACGGTCCTGCTCCTCTTTAGGAACACGGCTCATGAACCCTTGGTAAGACATTGTGTCATCACTGTCCCTGTAGTCTTTGTGTTGTCTGTTACCATGGAAACAGCCCATTCAAGTGACAGCCGGGGAAATGAGGGTGTTTCATTTAAGTCTGTTTCCCATTTCCATAAAAACAACCTGAATATCTGGAATGAATAATGCCTCTATTCGTTCCATGTATTTACTGACCATGACAGCTTAGCTGTGGAATGCTCGCAGCCATGTCCGTGTAGGCCCATGTGAGCCACTGCAAAGTCAAAATGTATGGAATTATAATCAGTAAAGCCTCTATTTAGTGGAAAATAAAGATATAGAGAGAAACACACACATACACATTCTAGTGAGGTCAAAACATTGACTCATAAATAAAAACATGGCTGACGTTTTAAGAGTTCAGCTCTCCGGTCAGCGTTGATGTAAAGTAAATGTGATTTAAAATGAGTAGCTTTAACATGAAACAACTGTGGTATTGTCTTTTAATGCAGGAAAATATTTTGTATGCATCTTTTTCTTCAGTGGGCTTCCATCAAAGCTATAACCCGTATAACTCTAGAAGTGTAGAACTAAAAGTGGCTGATACCTGTTTTCAGATGAACAGGATGTGAGGAATTAAACATTAACCCAAACCACCAAATAGGAATATTTAAGGTATTTCTCTCCAGAAGCTTTATCTGGAGCAGATCCCTGCCATTCGTTTTGTGCAGACAATATTATTGCATTGAGGCACTTCTTTTTGGGTGATGCTAGATTGTATCTGTCCTCTTATATTTAGTTCTGTTTGTCTAAATATACATAAAACAAAAAAATAATTGATTAAAACAATGTTAAATAGCCATGTTGAAAAAAAAACAAAAAACATATATTTGAACATGTCACAAATTAATTTAGCTAAGTGATATATACGACTTAAACTGTGAATCTCTCAGGTTTGGAGTATTATCAGGCTGACATCAGGCCGATTGTTTGGCCTTTTATTGACCAGTCACTGTTCATATGTGATGGAGGTTTTCCTCTACAGCAGGAAACAGGTTATTGTGGTATAAAGCACATGGTACGTTTTTATATATTATGTTAGTTGTTATTAAATTGTCTGCTTTAATAAAGTATTCCCTTATATAAAGGACCACTGCCTTTATGATTGTTTCACTTGACATCTTCATGCTCCTGTGATGGTGTGTTCAATTACAGCAGCCCACTCACGCTAAAGAGTATCTATGGCCTATATGCTCTATAATGGAAATGGTCAATTTAACACACTGGCAGCTGTACGCATCTCCAGGAAAATACTAATACTATTGGCGATCAAAGCCTATTGATTGTCTACAAACAAGCCTCCACTATACACACACGCTCACGCACTCACCGTGTACCCACCCACGCACTATTTGGAAGGCCTTAACCCAGGCGCGTTCCATTACGTTAAGTGTCAAGTTATTACCTGGCTGTGAATTGGACTCATAAACATCCAATCTGACGCTGAAGCCCACAAGGCCAAACTGGGCCGCCTAAATTCCAAACTGTACAAGTATTTCTCAATAAAAAGAGGCCAGAACAAATGAAAGAGCATGTATAAAGACACAAGAAACTTATATGTTCCGAGAATCTGTCCTGTTTTCTTCCCTCAGTAATTCAAGGCGTTCGTTATTTTGAAAGGGCAGGGCACTAGGATAATAATACTAATACAAATAATTATAATAACAATAATTATAATAATAATAATATTGACGATGATCATAATAATACTTATTGTTGTTGTTGTTGTTATAATTTGGCCTTGGCTGAAGGTTTTCAAGCCATAGAAAAAGATTTGCAGGACAGTTCTCACCAACACTTGCTGTGAAAATACACGAGCTGAACCGCTGAACTGCTTGTGACCCTTATCACCCAAGGGAGACCGTTACACACCCACAATGAACTCGTGACTTTCAAATCCCAATGCAGAGACAACTCTCCCTCACACACTCTTGCACCTATTTCAGTCACAAACAGCAGTGGCAGCGGGAGCGAGCGTATGGCTCATACAATGGGCATTTATTGTTTCAGGCCGATTCCAGTGGGCTCATGCACATTTGATTCAGAATACAATTAATTCCATTATGACTCATTTATTTAGTCATTTTTTATTCAATCATTAATTAGTTTTCATCTTTTTGAAAAATTGACAACCTCGTACCTGCAGACATGTCTTTTGAAATGAATCACGTTTCTTTCCTGATGTGATTGAAAAACTGTCCAGGCTTCTGTTTGTATTTTATTTATTTCATTGAAGGTTATTTATTATATTCATTTATCTTTTCAATTCATCAAAGTGAAGACTGCACAAGCACGAGTCCATCCATGGATTTACCCGTATGGATGTGTTTGTGTCGCTGCAGCAACATGATGACCGCAGAGCAGCGCGGATGTGTTCCCAGTAAATAACGGAGGAGCAGTGAGTCAAGGGCTCCTTCGCGGAGACAGCATAAGGTTTATGGTTGGACTGACTGCCTCTTAGTCAGACACCAGAAACCTCGACATTCTGCCCGGCCACAGTGGCCGCTTCTGACTTCAAAATCCTCTGATTTGCTCCTTTAAATTGAGTCTTTTTTAACTGCCAGTCCGGCATAGTCCATGTTCATTTTACACATTTCCCAGTGTCATTTTATTATCCCAATTCTTCAAATAATCCGCTTAGAACTAATAGAAAATGATTTTAAAAAAGTGTGCTCCCTGAAATAAGTTGTTAAAAATAAAAATAGTAAAGTATGATTTCAAGACGATTAGAGATTATTAAATCCAGCCTATATATTTGTCATATTGTAACTAATTGCAATCTCTGACGCTAAAGGCGCATCTGCCTCACCCAACGAGTCACTAAATATTATTATTCATCTCTTCCAAGGAAACATTATGTTTCTATATTCTGTTATTCAGCGCATCTCATTTAGACAATCATTTGAAATTTAATTGATTATTACAAAACATACCGGGGGAAATATGTAAATTAAAATGCGCGTACGTATATGTACGTGCGCGTAAAGTAAAGCAATACTATAACAGGGCGTTTTATTATATTATCAGTATTATAATTTAGGCCTTTAACACTTAACAGTTTTTTTACGAGTCTGGCTGTGCCGGACCTGGGTCAACCTGCTCCGTGAAGCAGAGGGACAGCTTCGACCGGCGGCCTCGTGGATCAAATCTAGACACATGGTATCTGCCACAGAGGGAAGGGAGCATTATGGAGTGATCTCCATCCTCATGGTTCACAGCCACGTCTGATGTCAGGTTTGAAATCACTTCCTTTAAAAACCCAGTCTGAAGGCTCTTACCTCCAAAAAATGTCAAATCTGTAAACATTATCACATATTTCTGACAAAGTTGGCTACAGCACATTTGATCATATAATTTAGGCAACTCAGGGTGATAAACTATACTGTATCAACAAAATACCACCTTAAAATACAAACAAAATGTAGATTTAAGATAAAAACATACTCAGTCTTTGCTCTCAAATCTCCACTACAAATTGATTCAACATGGGCCCAGTGAGATACATGATAACACACAACATTCATAAGCAAACTTCATTTTGCTTGTCAAAATACATAAATAATTAGGACAAAAAAACAACACAAAACACATTGATAAATGATGACAATAAATAATGTTGTTATTTCCATTTAAGTACATGCATTCTATCATTTAATGCTTACATTTATGCTTTAACATGTCATCTTGTGTTTACGTCTGCATTAACATTAGGTCAGGTCAACCTGAAAGTTACTGCCTGGATGCACAGGAGGACCGTCCCTTTGTAATCTGGCTCTTCTGTTTCTTGGCTAAATCCAGTGCACCTTCACCTTCAGAAACTCACAAACTGGTTTCACACGGAAAATGCAACAATTAGAACAACTGTATTCCTATGAATCCTAAGTGGTACAGGCCTTACCTACCAGAGCAGGACGAGCGGGCATGGAGCAACACTTTGAGCAACATTTTAAAAGAAGGTGAAATCCACTCAGACCTGTCAAAAATGGACAAATCGTAAAAAGGTGCAGCTTTCAGCCAATAAAGCTGAGCACCAGCCTCCTCCTGGACACTCTTCTCTCCCATGTGAGGCAATAATAGGGCCATCATTCCATTCTTTTTGTTGTTTTCTTCCTCCAGAGGATGGTAGGCTACAACAGCAGGGTGCCTACAGGCTTTTTTTTTTTTAAACTGCAGCAGCTGGCAAAAAAAGGATTCATGTGTGATGGCCAGTTTGGTCTAAGTGACACAAATGCCATATGAAATTGGGCTGTATGAAAAGTGTTGATAGCTAATTTGTCACAGGAAGAATAACTCTGAATACCTTTTTAAAGCACTGATGCCCAATGTGGGGGTCCAATAGGAGTCCTTGAGGGGGTTCTGGAGGTCCTCAAAGGGGCTTCGTTGGGTCCCCAGGCAAAATAAGGAATAGATTACAAGACACTTTTGTATTTTTTCCCCAAGAAGTTTGAATGGAGAATGGATGTTTTGCCCAAAGGCTTCCAAGAAAGAGAGAACCTAAGCCCGAATTTAGTGTGAAAAACCCCGAAATGATTTAAAATACATTCTCACTGATGTGTGAAATCGTGTGTCAAGGTGTATCAGACAGAAAGATTCTGTCACACAAAATCGTATCAAATTGGCTCATTGGCCTAAAATTCATCTCTATAAGGACTATCCGAGCTGCAGTGGTTCTATCCACGTCCTCCACCGGTCACCTGTTGCTGTTTCTTCATTCACACAGGCCATTCAAGGCTCATAGACAACTCAGCCCACTGCAGTGAATGTAATGGTGTCTGTTTATGTCAACATGCGCAGCTCATTCAAATGAATTCTAATTTTAATTGTCAGAGCGGTGACGTTAAACAGCTTGCGCTGGGTTTCCACGGGTCACATGAATACAAGTAGCCTGCGGCCTAATTAGTGCATCTTTTTTTCTCCAGTCTAAAAAGCAGGGGGTGCATCCAACCCCCCGCATGGTCGCCACCTCTTATTGCATCTAATTAAAATCCTCTATTCATGTTTTCAAACTTGACCAGGTGTGGTTTGAATGGGAGCATTGG